GTGTGTGTGTGTGTGTGTGTGTGTGTGTGTATGTGTGTGTTTCAGCAGGGTAGGATGAGATTTGCAAGCACGCTAGAGTACTAAGGGGATTAATATGCCAAATTTTATGGAAGTCCTGGACTTTTTAAGTACATGCCTTTAAAATCTGATTTTAAAATGCTTGTAACTTCGTATAAGACAAAATATGATGACATTTGCAGGAATGATAGCCCTTATGGTAGGAAACACTACCAAATTTCAAGCAATATGTTGAAAAGAGATTGTGCAAAGAGAAAGGTATTTGTAAATAAAATTGATGTCAATACTGAATGTGGTAGAATTGATTTTGAAGGAAATATAAGGGAATAGCTCACTGTTGATTTACTTTATCATAACATAGTTAATTTATAAAGCCAAATCAACTGTCTAATGTAGCTTATAAAATACAGTCATAGTACTGGTCTAGATAAGAGGCAGAGTGAAAATGAGGTGGAATGTGTGGTAACTGAAATATGTTTCTCAGCCCTTCAATTAGATTCTTGTTACAAGAACAACTGAGTTAAGGGCAAGCCTTTCCAACACTAAGTTCATACCCTTCACCCATCCTGTTTCCACTACTGCATTTTCTATGAACAGCAGAAGTTCCTTTGCAGTATTCTGCATGTTTGATAGCACAACATGGAAAACCTTCTTCAAGGCCTAGAATCAGAATGGAGAGGGTTCAGATAAGTCTCTCTGCCTTGAATAAATTCTAACTACAGTATGCACCACTACTAAAAATACACATCTGGACCACCACCACCAACAAATGAATGAATGAAGTATATATCTTATGGCTTATCATGGCATATTGTTACTCGGAATATAAAATGATAAAGTTCATAAAAAATTCAAAAGCATAAAATAGTTTCCCATAAAAAATGCCATCTAATTTCTTCTCATTACATTTCTCCATTGCATAGATATTGAACTCATATTTTTCAGCTGTCCTCCAATGACTCATGGCTTTGAATTTTCCATCCTACATTGGAATTACTACCTTATCAAAAGATACCTTTGCGATACCATAAGAGATTTAAGACAAGGTGGATATGACATGTAATTTCTTAAACTATACAAACTTCAGCCCTAACATAGTATAGGTAGTCCTTGACTTACAACCATTTGTTTCATGACCAAAGTTGCGATGGTGCTGAAAAAAGTGACTTATGACCTGTCCTCGCATTTATGAGCATCACAGTGTCCCCGTGATCATGTGATCAAAATTTGGGTACTTGGCAACCAGCATGTATTTACAACGGTTGTAAATAGTAAATCCCAGAGTCAAGTGATTGCCATTTCCAACCTTCCCAGAGGGCTTCTGACAAAGTCAATGGGGGAAGCTGAATTCTCTTAACAACTATGTGATTCGCTTAACAACCATGGCAAAAAAGGTAGTAAAATCAGGTGCGACTCACTTAATGACTGCATCACGTAGCGATGGAAGTTCCAGTCCCAATTGTGATAAATCAAGGGCTACTTGTACTATGTTCAAATTACTATGGATTTCATTTTCAAGGAAAAAAAGGTTTTTTTAACTGAATATATTATTTCAAATATAATAAAATATTGTAAAATATTATGTTAACTACTTGATACATTCATGCAAATGCATTCATGGAAATTGAAGCTTTCTTAAGACTGGAACTAGGAATAATTAGAATTAGAGCTGATATCACTAATCCTAAACTCAAATCAGTTACGTTCAAATAATTTGTATTCAACAACAAAAGCATGTCAAGCCCTAGAAATGAGGTGATTTTTCATTCTTCTAGCACCTTTCCTTCCTTGATTCCAAATAATAATAATAATAAAAGTAATAATAATAATAATACTAATAATTTGTGTGTCCAATTAATATTATTGCTTCCTTGTTTTATTTTATAATGGAAAGTATATTTTGGACCACACCCATTACTACTTACTAGCCTTGTATCTTTTCAAAATATTATTTATTTGTTACAGCAATCTGGAAAGGCAGAAATATACATTAGAATATATCACAATTTATGATAAAATAATGGTTCATCGGCTCACGAAGAGTCGGACACGACTTAACGACTGAACAACAACAACAATTGTAGCAACAAAAGACACACGCTCCTGGAGTCAGGTTCTTCTTCTGTTGAAATTAATTGTTTTTATATTAGAAAATTTCTACTTTAAAAATGAGGGATAGCTTCTCACATACAGCAGAGTGGGCAACAAATATATGTCTGCATTACATAATTTTAGATGCGGATGGGAGACTTATTTTTCCTCCAAACATAAACATCACTTAAAGCACAGATTTATCTATTAGCTGCCAACTGTGAAAACTGGATCCAATATTAATCTTTATTGCCATTATCAAATTTAGTTTAGAAAAAATGTGAATATTAATCTTCATACAAAGAGCTTAGCAGTAGATGACGCTGGCAGATAACGTTCTGGCAAAGGCTACTTGTTGAGTTGCCTAGCCAGGCAGAGATATGAATCTGGGTTCCCTGTATTCAGTTCCAATATTTGACCTACTACACCACATCACCATATTTCTATAATACCTCTTCTTGCCCAGCCATTACGAGTGTTTATATAAAAGGAAAAGTCAATTTGATTGTTATAAATCTGCAAATATAAGAACATTTATAAACAAATGACTATAAAATGTGAACAAAAATTCATTACAAGACACATGTTATACATTCCAAAAAAACACAGGTTCAAATACAACAGGACATTTTATTTTATTACGTACAATAAAACAATTTTATATAGGAAATGTCTAAATTAGTCACATTCTGGAAAATCCCTAGGGCAGAGTATAAAGAACAGCTTTGGTCACAGAAAGGGCTTCAAGTAGCTCAGTGAAATGTTTTTCAACAGCTGATTCCTATGAGACATCATAAATTGCTTTTGCAAATTCCTCAGATTTCAAATGCTGGCTGTTATCTGAGGAGAAATAAACCTGAAGACCCCTTGGGCTCCCAAAACTAGCTCTGTGATTCTTTGGATCCTTACATCTGCCTGCTGAACCAGAAAATAATTGCTTATTAACAAAATAACAAAAATTATGGCCCTAATTAAAGCTTCTTACTGCTTACTTCAGTGGCTGCCTCTGGCTGCCTGCCTAACAATTATGAGACTACAGCCATATCCAATGTAGCACTTGGAAGACAACACCCGGTTCAGCACCTTCCCATCTACAGCTCACTTGCCATAATAAAGAGGCAGTTCTCCAGTATTTAATAATGAAATGACTAATGATGGACAGCTCAAGGGAACTGTAATAGTTGTGGATTCTGCTGCTGCTTCAGTGACATTATCCCTTATACTGCAAATGTCCATACACCCCCCCCCCCAATATAAGGTTGCGATGTAAATGTACTTATGTAATTTGTTACAAGAAAATGAATGTCTATAATATAATTACACTAAATGTGATGTTCTTAGTCAATTAGGAGACCAATAGTATGAACAAGAATAGGAAAAATTATTAGGGATAATTGTCAGAATTAAAGACAACTGATGTGTTATTTACTTGGCCAGGATTATGATCAGTAAAAAAAAAACCCAAAAAACCTTTAATTGATTTCTTAGGTAAGACCAAGTTTTTTTATATGTTGTTTATACATTCTTCTTTTTGCAAACTTAATATCTAACTTGTCTAGATCTTTTAGAGCAATGGTTTTAGTACAAATCTAAAGGATCTGCACCTTGATCATTGGGCTTGTCCAGCTTTTCCTACTTGCTTCAAAATATTTAAAACTAGAGCAATACATTGTATCTATCAATGCTCTCAAAGAATAGACCTCTTAAGCCTCAACTCTATAACTTCAAAATATAACATCCTATAAGTAGGATGTAAAGATAGAATTGGAATAACAGCAATTATATTTATCTGAAAAACATTATATTAAAAACTATCTTGCAATTAATATCAACATGCACTCATGGAAATTCAAATCCAGTTGTGATGTTGGAGCTCCGTTTATTTAATATGGTCTTTAATTTCAGTTTAATATGTTGGTTACATGTTGACATCATTTAAAGTTGATTAGAAAATGGGATGGAGGGATTCTTTACAGTAATTAGTCTTCTGGGTGTGTGCCAAGATTGTGATTCATTCAGCCATTAATACTTTAGAAAGGTAAGCTGTTTAAGATGGTAGTGACAAGAGCTTGATCTCAAAATATTCATAAGATGGTAAGCCCCATCAAGATGTCAAGAATGTATTCCAAAGTTTCCAAATTCCACAGCAGCCTATTTAAGAGTTACTTGTGCTTAAAGCTGCCCATCCTGTTCATCTACAACAGACTTCCACTGTATTTTACAGGACTTTGACAATTAAATGATACAGATTCTGGTGTTATATCACATGCATAGTTCTTTCCCCCCCCTTAAACATCCCCCCTCCCAAATATGGCTCCCATTCCAAAAAAGATAGCCAACTTTGTTTTAGACTCTCCTCACAACTCTGTAGAAAAGGAAATAAGATTCTATGTTCAGATGATGTTCATGTTGCTTTCAAGTTGGCAATTGTAGAAATTTAACCATTCTTGCTCACTGGGGTATTTTCTTCCGTAGCAATTCCCTTGTCTTCCCAAGACCTGAATCAAGAAAAAATACCCTTGCTTTGACACTAGTGCAGATGAACTAGATGAAAAGGATGTGTAGTTGTCTAAAGGCCTTCATTAAAACATTTTCGGATACTATTTTTTCATCAAACATACACTTCTATATTGTAATGGACTGTGAGAATAACCTTGGGAGACATGAGGAAGAACAGCAGCCTAGGAAATTGTCTGGTAAGAGAAATCTGAGCCTAAAGGCTGGATAGGAGTGGAGAAAGGGGGTCTCAGAAGGGACTCTCCCTAGTTCTCTGGAAAGTAAAGGCAGGGAAGGGGGGAAGTGCTTTCAGACTTGCAAGATTCTGTTACTGTAACCTTACAATAAAGGTACTGTAGTATTAGTATGCATGGTCTTGGTTTTCTCTCTGGACTACCTTGAAGGGCTGACAATATGCTTTTTAAAGCTTTTTATGCATTTCAAAGACATAAATGTTTATACATTCAGTACTGTCACAATTTCAAATGCTAAAATGTTCTCAATAATTTCTCAGGCCAACACAGAGACTCCTTTGTGAGTACTAAAAAATTTCTTTTGAAGAAGGAATTGTTCCGGGAGGGGATAATTTATATGTGCAAAATTCCAAACAGTATTGATAATCCAGTTCTATAAGTAGGATGTACATTTAACCTATGTTTGGAACAGGAAAAAAAAAACACCACTGGGGAAATAATTCTTGAGTTGTAGGAGGACAGAGGCAAAGAGAAATAAAGTAATTCAAGTTGCTGCTTGAAAAAGGGAACGGGGCCAACAATGCCCTGTGTCAAATGGGGATTTAGGAACAAACATTCAGTTCTATAAACTCTTCCAGGGAAGAGGGTCCATTCGTGGAGGAATTTTTGAGGGTGGCGTGTAGAAGTTACGTCGCTGCAAGCAGACTTGCCTAAAGAGAGTAAAACCACCCGAAGGCAAAGGCAGTTATTAAGAGGTAACCAAGCTGAACAAGGAGCCGCCTTTCTCGTTCGCCTACCCGGTGTGAATCGCTTTCTCTCTCACACACCGAGCGCACAGACTCCTCCTGTACAGTCAGGGACAAAACAGCCGGGGCGGGCATGTAATTCCTACCAAACAGAACCGGGCGGGGTTGGGGCTCCACTCCCTGGTCAAGTAGAAAGAACGAACGAGGGAAACTAATTAAGTTATCTCAAAGGTGCCGTTGCTACTAACCTTCCTCCCTCCGATTGCCCCACCCTGGCTAGAAGCGAAATCTTGCTGTGGACGGGAGGAGCCAGCAGCCAGCCGGAGCCTGAGCGAACCGAGAGAGAGAAAGAGAAAACACACCGAGTCGTCTCCTCCTCCTCCTCCTCTTCATTAGGGCCGCCCCTGGAGCTGCAGCTGGTGAGCCGGGCGGGGAACCTCAGACTCACCTGGTCGGAGTCGCCAGGAGTTCGGCGCACAGCCCAGGTAGCCGCAGTTCCCGCCAAACCGTTCGCCCCCGGACATGGTCCCGCTGGCAAGAGCAAGGCACAGAGGGGGCCCGGTTGGAGCCGCTTGCTTCCAGCTCGTCCTCGGCCTCCTGGTGAGTGGGGCCCTCCTGGGAAAGGGGGCTGCGTCTTCCGGAACGAGTGGAGGCAGGAAGGTGGCGGGAGTGGGAGGCGGAAAGTCCGTGAACCCGTCGCTGGCCCACGCGGGACCGTGAGGGATTTACGCTCGCGTGGCAAAGGACTACGCTTGCGCCGGTGTGGAGTGTTTTCTGGAGAAGCGCTGTGCCGCGAGGCGGCAGAGCGCCCTGGCTTGGTGGAAACTTTTCTTTGGAGAGATAAAAGGCTTATTCCTAGCATACATTGGGGGGAAAATGCTGTTTTGCTTTCTTTTTTTCTTTAAAGGAAATTTCTTACTCAGTTAAAAACAAGAACCTCTAGGCTTAACCTTGTTCACTCCTTTTTCTTCCGCGTGCGCTCGGAAAATGAAGAGCGAAAAAATCGGATAAATTAAACTGTGAAGAAGGAGAGCGAAGTAAGAGGGTTGGGTGGAAGGTGTCATCTTTCACGGTGCCGATTCTGTAGCACAATATGGCTGGCTTTAAAGAAGGGCATCGACTTTTACTTGGAAGTGAGGATCAAACTATACCTTCCGATGAGTTTGGTTTTAAAATAAGGTGGCTGCCTAAGGCCGCCTCACACCCCTCCCCCTCAGGAACAAAAGATGGTAAGAAAACGAATAAAAGTTTGCCCCCATTTTCCTTGACCTGATGCAGAGGTTGGGAGATGGGTAGGCGGATGGGAGAACTGCAAAACGTTCTGTTTTGAGCAGCTTCTGGGCCGTGGGGATGAAATAACACAAATAAGAGAAAGCAGAACCAATTGGTATATATTTCATGTCCTGGATGGCTCTCATCCTTTAGGGTGGATATATCTTTGGAAGAGTGGCATTTGGCTTTTGCGGATTTTGCTCCACTACAGTTAACTTGTTTCTTTGATTTGTCTGATGGTCTCAGGAAATAATGTTTCCTTTTTCCTATTTGAAAGCAAATATTTATCTGTTATACCAATAAGTTGGCTAATTTCCTTGCATATTCCTTTGCTGAGACCCCAGGAGATATTTTCTTCTGTCTCTGGAGAGAAGAAAGTTGGGTTCTTTTTTAATTGCCCTACTTTGGAATAATTTTTTTTGTTTTTTGTTTTCCAGCAAATGTCTAATATTTCTAGCATCTTGTTTCAATAACCAAGATTTTTTTTAAAAAAAATTAATAAGTTTATCAAGCGTGGGATATGAGAAATGCAGTGTAGTTATGTGAAGTATTGTGAAAGATTATTGTAATGTTTAGGTGGTTCTCCATATCTTCCTTGGAGAAATGAACTTCATAATACACGTGAAAGTGAATTGTATCTATATGTCATAAATGATAATTCTAGGTATCAAAATATAGAAACACATATAAATTAACAATGTGTTATGAAATACAATATTTACATTATTGACAAAAAGGAAAAGGAAAGTTTTGATTAGTCAAGTTCTGGAAATTCAGTTTACTGTTTATGATGATTCTGCTTCATTTTCAAAAAGAGGCAGTTGTGTAGGCACAGTTTGGTGAAATTTGGACATTTAATCATTTTGTAGTACTATTCCTTTGAATAAGAATGTGTGTACTGGTTTCCCTGGCTTTATATATGCCTAAAAATTTCTTATTTTAAGAAATGTACATTATTGCAGAACCTCTCTTTGTTCAAGATAGAATTGAACAAAATATCTTGGGTTCTGCCTTAGTAACTGATAACTTCAAAAAATAATGAATGGATCTTCAATACATTGCAGTCATAATGAGCTCAAATAGTAGTGAATTTTGAAAAGTAATGAGTACATTTTACTTATATTTATTTGGAATAAGAAGCAAAACTTAAAAATACAGGTTGTTCAATTAAATGGGTATGGTTGCTTATGCCTTAAGAATAAATCACATCTATATTAACATCTATATTATACATCACATCTATATTATATTAAGAATAAATTCACATCTATATTTAAGTTTTAAGAGTAAGCATAGTTTGACAGTTTCAGTTAGCTGGCTACCCCTGTACTCTAGAATGATCCCCCTCCCCGAATATATGATAGGCCCCAACTCTGTTTGCCTTTAAAAAAACTCTTAAGATTTGGCTTTTTTCTCCAGGTGTTTGAGTCCAATTGAGTGCAGTTTCTTTTGGTTGTTTAATTATTTTTCAGTTGCCATTTTATATTTTACACATTGGCTAGCTTTTTTAATGTGTGGGTTTTTTGGGGGGGTATTGTTTGTTTTTGTTGTATGCCATCACATTGTTTGAGTTGCGCCACCCTGTAAATCCAGTAATTCATAGTTCAAATAGATCTCTATTTATTTCTGATAAAACATGAATGTAATAATTATTTTACTAAATTTGAACTTTTTACTGATTGGTGTATTTTCCAGTGTGATGGTCTATATAAGAGCACTAACTTTATAGGTAACTGATTTCATAATGAATAATTTTGTATTGAAACAAGGAATGATGTTTAATAATAATGTGCTAATGGTACTCTTTTCCAAGTACAGATTTGGGAAAAAATCTCACTTTCACGAAGATTGTGGGGAGGGGACTGATGCATTTCTTACCAAAATGTGAAATTTTAAGATTTTTTCCTACTCAAAAGCTTGTATGTACTATTCTACTACTACTATTCTAGCTGGAGTTCTAATCTTTCCTTAGACACAGAAGCCAGTTACTCTCTCTCAGCCCAGTTCATCTCACAGGGTTGTTGTGAAGGCAGGATATAAATCTAATAAACAAATACATAAATAATTCAGTCCATTTATTCCCCTTTCAAGATGATAGAATGTTTCTTTTTATGTTGAGGTGCTTTCTTTTTTAAGCTTTTAATATACTTTGCTATTGATAGCATTTTATATTATAAACAAAGTAATCTGTGTTAGTAGTAATTAATGAAGTTGCTGGGTGCTTTTGGATTTAACATTCAGTACATGGCAACATACCAAGAATACCAGTGAAACCTCCTTGTTCTTATTCATGAGAATGTATACTCTTTATATTAAACATTGCTTGTTACTATGATTTGCTGACATTTATGTTTCCAACATTATATTTAGAACAACCTTAGATGACTTTGGCTGATGTTGAAAAACTAAGCAAAGTTGGGCCTAATTTGTGCTTGATGGGAGACCAGAAAATACCAGTGCTGTAAACTAGATTAGGAAGCAAAAAAACCCAAAAAACAGTAACACCCAAAAAACAAAGGCAAACTTTCCCCAAATACAGTATCTTTTCTTGACATAACTTTTTAAGAAGGATTCAGATAAATAGACAAACAAATGGGTTTAAATAAGAATAAAACAGTGACCAGAAACGGGAAACTAAGTTATGTGAAGAAAGATTAAAGGAGTTGGCATGTTACATTCTGAGCTGAGAAGATTGAAGAGAGAGAGAACAGCATTCTCAAATACCAGATGGGATGTTTCGCAGAAAAGGTCAAAAGTCATTCTCTATCATTCCAGAGTTTAGGACCAGAAATAATGGATTTAAGCTGCAGAAAGTCATTCCTCTTAAATATTAGGGGGAAAAAAGCTTCCTAACAATAAGAGCAATAGGACCAGTTGTCCAGAAATGGTGCTTTCATTTATTGGATAAGTTTAAGTAGGGTGGAAGAACCATCTGCTCAAGAATGGTTGGCTTGGTCTTAGTGGCATGCATCCTCTTTTCCCTTGGATTCAGTGATTTATGTGCAACTTGCAATTTCCCCTCCCCCTCCTTTTTTTGGAATTATCTCAACACAAAAAATTGGGTTGAAGGATTTGCCTTTGGTTAGAGCTGGATCTCCCGAGTTCCATCCTTAGTGCTAATTGTTTAATACATGTTGAAGGAAGAAAATACGAGGCATGCTACTTTCAGTAAGAGTAGAAAATAATACACAAATGTTTAACCTTTTACAACAGCATATTAAAATCTATGAGAATGTTAAAATACAGTCCAATGTACACCTTTGAATATGCTTCATAAATGTGTGCTGTTGCAGTCATTTTAATATTCCCTAAAATAGCAGGAATATTGAACCTTCCTACTCAACTGTGGAACAATGGGCTGCATAACAGTACAGGATTGCAAGCCTCTATTCCTCATGGTGGTGCATACCTTTTATGTGTTTTCTCTTTTCCCATCCCAGTACCCTTTGTAGCCCCTTATCTTTGTGAATGATTATAGCAAAAATACTGGCCTAACTTAAGTGTGTAAAATATTCCAAGTCATCATGGCCATCTGCTATAGCTGTTCAACATTTTACAGCAATACTTTGCTGCCCCTCCCCCCCCCCGCCCCCCAAAGCCTGCTACTGTCTTGCTAGAAGTGTTAGGGCTGCATCTCCACAAATCTTATGTACAGAAGCCTAAAGATTCTTCATATGTGCCATAGATTCCACTTCAGCTTTTGATTATGTTGCCTGATTCTGTTGGCTGTTTATCTGCTCAGTTTAGACTTGTATGTCACTTGGTTGTCTGTTCTTAGAACAACCCTTGGAGCTCTTGTCCTGTCTTGGGCATGAAGTTGGCTGGGTGACCTTGGGCCAGTCACTTTCTCTCAGCCCTAGGAAGAAGGCAATGGCAAACCACATCTGAAAATGTTGCCAAGAAAACTGCAGGAACTTGTCCAGGCAGTCCCCAAGAGTCAAGACTGACTTGAAGAAATGTGCACACACATACACAAACAAAAGGATATTTTACAGATGTATCACATTGTGAACAAGATTGGTGTTGTTGATAGGAGGAGTGTTGATCTCTTCCCTATAAAAGTCAAAGTTTTTCAGTGGATTTGCCCAGTAATGTTCTTTACTGCTTACAGTTTTCTAGCATCTAGTTTCCTTTAGAAAACCCTAAATTCCTAATTCTAAGAATTATAGCAGAGCATTTTATTATGGAAGAAATACAGGTGGCCCTCGTTTAATGACCATTCGTTCAGCAACTGTTCAAACTTATGATGGTACTGAACAAGTGGTGGTTATGACCAGTCCTCATACTTACAGCTGTCACAGCATCCCCGAGTCACCTAATCGCAATTCGTGACCTTCCCTGCCAGCTTCTGACAAGCAAAGACAAAAGGGAAGCTGGCAGGAAGTCGCAAGTCAGGGTCACATGAGGTCCTTGCTTAAAGACCTGCATGGTCCTTGCTTAATGATGGCAACCAGGACTGCCAGAACTGCTATCACTAAGTGGTGTGGTCACGTGGTTTTTCAACTTAAGACCGCTTTGCTTAACAATGGAGTTTCCGGGTTAAGTGAGGATTACCTGCATTGCTGATGAGAGGTCTGTGTCTATAGTGATTGCAGTTTGCTTTGGAATGATGACCTTGTTTACATCCATCTTGTTAAATATATCTTTATAGACACTCGCAGCGGAGTGACCTCCCAGATCTAATCACAGTTTACACTATTGATATTCTTCCAAGAAAGCATCTTGAGAAACTTCCCTGGAAAACCTGTTAAAGCATTACAATTATGTTTATTCACTACAGTTGGCATCTTTAACTTAGAGCAGTGGTTCTCAAACATTTTGGTCTCAGGACCCCTTTGCATTCTTAAAAATGATTGAGGACCCCAAAGAGCTTTGGTTTATGTGGGTTATATCTACCAGTATTTACTGTGTTATAAATTAAAACTGAGAATTCCAAAACATTTATTTATCTGACTTCACGGAGCCCAGGGATCCCCAGACCACACTTTGAGAACCATTGATTTAGAGCGAATGTGAGGAATCTGCACCCCTCCGTATGTTGCTGAATTGCAACTCCTTGTATCCCTCTCCACTGGCCACTCGACTTTAGTTACAACATTAACCCATATGGTTTATCTTTTCCTGTTACTGCTGCATCTTGGGTGGACATCAACAGGATTGTTAACATTCATCCAGCTTAATTTAAAGATGCACATGTTCTTGGGTACATCCTGTATTTGAAATCTGTCAAGATATTTAGAAGAGTGATCGGACTAAATAGTTGGCTATAAGAATTACTATACTACCTAGGAAGAAGACATACAAACAATTTTTTCAGCAGTAGACTCTTGATATGCATTATGTTGCCAATATTTGGTAATATAACATTTAATAGTCTTTTTTTCAATAAAAAAGACTTTTGAGCAATATGATCAGGGTTTTTGTTTTGTTTTGTTTATAACAATTTCCAGATTTGCCCTTTGTTTTTTAAAAACAAAATAGCTATGCTTATTAATTATGAGATTTTTGTTGATCCTTTGATGCTGTTTTAGATATTTGTATTTCCCTTTTGTTGATTAGTTTTGCCTTATAAAATAAATTATATTTAAAAATGTGGTATGCTAGGTGCTATACTGTAGTTGAAGAAGTCTGTAAGTTCTTTGACCCCAGTCAGTGGATCTACTCAAATGAGTCATACTGTAATCAAAGCTTCCCTAAAGGAAGGGGAAAAAATCAGTTCTGGTTCAACTAAGAATTGAACATATTCTTCCAAATCTATTGAAGAGGGAGGCTTTGCTATTCGTGCCTTGCATTGTGTCCCTTGATGTGAAATATGTTGCTTGAATATTGACTGGTTTCACCTGCTTGCCCAAACATACTATACATGGTTACCTTACCTGTATTATGTTATCCTAACTTAATTTCCCAGTGATGTCTGTCGTATGTCATTGTAATGTGGTTTGCAGACCCTAATAAATGTTCATGGATTAATTGAACACAAATGTAGATCAATTGCTTGATCCATAACAGAAACAATTTTGTGCAAATACTTATGTGGGTAATGATGCTTTGTAAAACTTCTGTTTCTTCATGTATCATATCAATGTTATTAAACTTTGAAAGGGATTCACATAGCCATTCAAACATTTTGAAAGAATATGTGGGGTGAGAGGTATCATGGGATCCCATTAACTAGTTCTGCCTGTACAACTGACACATGTTGCAATTTTTGCCTGTAACACACCAGAGATTTTTAATCTACTCTCTGCATAGTGTTGGAAAGAACTTTCTATGCATGGTGATGTAATATGCATCAAATTCTTCCATATAGGGAAGATAATTAATAAGGCTAGACTTCCTCTTGTGTATAAGTGCTTTATAGGTATTTCAATTCATGTTTTCTGTTTGAATAGACAATTGGCAAAAACATTTTTTGCAATAAAAATGAGTGAGAATAGACACAGTTCTCAAGCAGGGATATGCTACATGGCTATATTTATTTCCATTATTTATAGTTCTGTAATACAAATATAATTGAAATATAATACTAATTCTTTTTTCCCAATCTAGGTATTAAGTTTATTTTGCGAAGCTTGCAAAAAAGTTACCCTAAATGTGCCTCCGAAACTAGATGCAGACACTCTAATTGGCCAAGGTGAGAAAACTGTTAGTTTCTTGAGTATAATTGTTATAAACTAATATCTGTGGTTATTTTTCCTCCCCCCTCCCCATCCGCAGTCTCATGTAAGAAAACTAAAATCTTGTGATATTTGGCCAGTTTATTTAGTTTTGGATTTTCACATATGTTATCTATGGGGGTTATGGCAGATTTTTGCTATCCTCTGATTTATCTAATGCACATATGTGCACAATGTAAACTGTTTAAGGTATACATATGTATCTATAGTCTATGTGGGTGATATTGGGCGTGATTCTTTACAACTTTCTTTTTGTCTTTTTACTAGTAAATCTGAAACGGTGTCTTAGAACTCCTGACCTGATCAGTACAAGTGACCCTGATTTCCTAGTTCTGGAAGATGGTTCTATATTTACAACAAATGCAGTTTCTTTGTCTTCTGGAAAGAAAACATTCATCATATTGCTCAAGAACTTGCAAAATAATCAACAAAAGCAAATACATGTCAATTTGCTGTCACATTCCCCAAAAGTAAGTGGCCTGGAATTAGGTGTTATGAAAGTTAATTGACTGTCATTAATTCTAAGAAAATCCTGATCTTTTGCTACTCTATCCTCATTCATATGTAAATTAGCCCTTCCAAATCTGGCAACTTCCAGATGTATTGGACTTCAGATCCCATAATCCTCAACCAACATGGCCAGTCCCTGGAGGGCATGCATCATGTTGTGGAAATCTGAATTAGTCAAAATGGTTGACATGACAACAATGTTCTAGGAGTTTTGACTAATGAAATGGAGTGAGAGTAAAGAAACCTGTAGCATTATGTATTTAAAAGCACAATAAATAAAGGAGAAGAATGGGGAGGAAACACTTATGTGATTTTTTCTGACAGCCTTGCAGTTCCTATAAAGTCTAGTTCTGTACTTACAGATGTCATCAGAACATACGGTTCTAGCACAAGCTTTTAGCTCTCTTTTAGCTATAGATGAAAGGTAAATCTCTTTTCCCTGTTAGAATTAGTGTGGCAAAGAAAGCATGTTGTTATTAAAGACATTCCAAGGAAAAAGTATATTTGGGGCAGTGAAAAATATGAATAAGGAAGACAGTTGAAAACAATAGCAAATTATACAAATATAACAAATATATTGCTGTTGCTTGTTTGTATATCTCTTGAACTCAGACACACAAAAGAGGAGAGACTGTTCTTAGACGCAGTAAACGAAGATGGGCTCCTGTTCCAACTACTATAATGGAAAACTCACTGGGACCTTTCCCAATGCAAATTCAGCAGGTAAGCGAATAAGCTACTTCCTTTTCCTATTTTCACTAGGAATACGTATTATGTGAACAATGGAAAGGTGTTATATAAATTTAATAAATAATAAGAAGAAAACCTATGTGAGTTATTTTAAGAAAGTAACTTATTTATTGATAAAATTAATACCACATATTTTTCATTTTTTTAATAATCCCAAAGTAAGAATACAGAACAAATAATATTTAACATACTTAAATAATGAACTGCTTATAAAACCTCTGAAATATGTATATTTAAAACTACATACCAATTAACATTCTGGGTACAATACTTTCTAAACAGAAAAATACAGCAGTGCAAGTTAACTAGAAATATAGATGAACAGATATGTCTTAAAAAGTTGTTGGAAGGCTTGGTGCCAATCATAATTTAACAGGAAGTGTACATACATTGAGAACAACCACTCTCGAGTCTTCATATAACAGATTAGAGGTAAATCTGGCACCCTCAAGAAGACATTCCTTAAATTTTAGGTATGTAACTAAGCAGGCGCTCTGCCAGATGTCCAGGACCTAAGTTGTATGTTGTGAAAAGTCCCTTGAATATGACTCAGTAGCAGTCTAATAGCCAGTGCAGTATCTTCAAAATAAGTATCATATATTTACTTAGATTACAGTTGGCACCCTAATCATGGAAGCTTGTACTAGCATCAACTTCTAGGCTTGCATTTTGTTTAAGAATTATGATTCCTTATCTTGCTTCATGTGTCCCAGTTGAATAAACAGTACTATATATGAAGTATCTGACTGGTGTTTCATGAGTTGAAGTTATATCTCTGCTGCTCACAGACTTCATCTCCTTATTCAAACACTCAGACTGAACAGCACAATAATATAAATTGTTTTTTGAGTTTGGAATGTGATTAGTTGCTATATGTGTGTCGTGCCTACTGAGATTCCTAAGAGCTTCTGTAAGAGGTTGATTTTTAGACTATTTTCTGTTGCAGATGTGTGGTAAACATCTACTCCAAAATAGCTCTCAAACACAGTAAAGAAATGTTGAGCAGCAAAACTAGTCTGTTTATATAGTGTACCAATAATCTTTGTAATTTGTTTTGTTTTTGAAGAGTGAGATTCTATCTGGGTTTGATTGAGTTAGGATGCTGTGTTGGCCATAGTTATGCTGTTTAGGTAGAAATCATATACAAATAGCTAGATGTGACAAAATTATCATAACAGGGATATTATAGCTTTCCAGCATACCTCAAGGGTCATTTCTACTAGATGATTTTAAGTACCAGTATTTGAAAGTCAGCTGCCTAAAAACAAAGAGGACTTGCAAGAAAATGTCCTTGTGATCTAAACAATATATATTTTCCCCCAAATTAATTGTTTTATTATAGAATCAATCAATTTTATTTTGGTCATAGACCAGCATATATTTATTATAGAATACAAATAATGTATTGTAGAATACACATTAAAAACTAAGCGCAGTGATGTCTATACAATAGAAATTGAAAGCTGTTAATGCTGTGATGGTTAAAGTAGATTAAACCTTTCAAATAGCAAATGCATATCAATGTTTAATTTCTGATATTTGTATGAACATAAAGTTGCTTATATTATACAGTTGGTGCTTAATATAACATTGATAAAAAGTTGTAAAGTGCATTGAATTATTTTGTAATATGAAAAAAGTTTATATCTTTGAACTCAGTATTAACATCTCCACTTTATTTATTATTTATGAGTACTAAAAAAAGGGAAAAAGGGAAAAGAAATAACGAGATACTTCGAAAAGGTATATAGGTATTTAATCTCTAACTATCCCCTTCTCTGTACTCCAGCTAATTTGCAGTGTATATGAACATTTAAATCCCCTTAAAATCATACCATAGGTGTTTATATTTGCCTTCTTAGAATTCATCAAAGCAAACAGTATATAATTAATACATGTATCCATAATGGGCAAATATGTAGCCCTCTAGATACTAAATTCCAGTTCCCATCCACTTTAGCTGCCATCTGAAGCAGCGAGAAACAAGAGTGTTTAATCCAACAACATCTGTATGACTATATTACAATCTTTTGGCATATACATTGAATACTTTTTAAATATTTAGATATTTTCTATGGAGGGGAGGATTGCAGTGCTGGGATATAGGATATAGTAATGATTTTCTTTTGTTCCCCACTTTTTTCTTTTTATATAGCTATCTTCTGATACAGCTCAAAAGTACAACATTACCTATTCTATTAGTGGTCCTGGTGTTGATCAACCACCACTAAATTATTTTTACATTGAAAAGGAAACAGGAAATCTCTTTGTCACTTGCCCAATAGATCGGGAAGAGTATGCAGAATTTCAGGTAAGAGTGATAGTTTTGTCATTTTCTAAAATACAGGTAGTCCTCAGTTTATGGCAGCAATTGGGACCAGAATTGCTATCGCTAAGTGACATGGTTGTAAAACACACCATCATGTGACCACACCACTTAGCGATGGCAATTCTGCCAGTCATGATTGCTGTCATTAAGTGAATGACCATGGGTCATTAAGCGAGGACATCATGTGGTCGCCAATTACAACCTCCTGCCAGCTTACCCATTGACTTTGCTTGTGGGAAGCGAGCAAAAAAGGTCACAAATGGTGATTGCTGGATGCTATGACATTGTACTTGCAATCCAGCTGCTGAGCACCTGGATTGCAATCACGTGGCTGTGCAGATGCTGCAAGAGCTGGTACTCTGAGGATCAGTCATAAGTACCATTCGTTCAGTGCCATTGCAAGTATGAACAGTCGCTGAACAAATTGTCATAAACCGAGGACTACCTGTATATAAGATGAAGTGAAATGCACATGGAACAGAAAAATAGTATCTATATCAATGTGTCTCTTCTGCTAATATTTAAAACTGCTGGTTCTAAGAAAGTAATTTTTTTGCTTGATAAATGCTATTGCTAATAGTTAGAAAGAAAATCAAACTTTAGATTTTATGAAACTCAGAAAAGCAATTTCATTTCTTAGAGATTCTACATAAAGTTAATGTTACTAGTACATCTCAGAAAGGACCTGGTTGCTGAGCCATCATTATTTCTCCACCTTTACTGCATTTGCTGATAGCCATCCAGCGGCCCTGATTAGGATCACCTGGTCCCTATTGGGAAGAGAGGGCCCCTTGGAACATGTGTTGTGCCACTGTAAGGAATATTCAGGCTATGGATAAAATCACTCAAATATGCTCTGATTTGATGAGGCAGGTCAAGCCGAGGTGCCTGAGGCACGGTTTGGCGGTGTGATCTGGGATGAGTTTCAGCCAGTGACTCCTGAGGAAGTAGTTGGGGTTCTCTGTGTTGTCAGCTCAGCTACCAGTGTCCTGGATCAGGGCCCCTCTGGGGTCATAAAAGCGACCAGGGAGGTAACCTGCATTTGGGTCCATGCTGTGGTGTCAGCCTCCTTGACAGAAGGGGTGGTACCTCTTGCCTTGAAAGAGACAGTCATGTATCTCCCCCTCAAGAAGCTGTCTTTGGACCCAGTGGTTCTCAATAACCATTGTCCAGTTTCCAACCTTCCTTTTCTGGAAGGTTGTTGAGAAGGTGGTTGGTCTAAAGTTGATGAATGCCCTGGAAGAAACAGGTTATACCTGTTTCAGTCAGGTATCAGGCTGGGATTAGTACTGAGACAGCTTTGGTTGCACTTGTAATGTCCTGTGGCAGAGGCAGGATGGGGGGGTTGTACATCCATGTTTATGCTGCTTGATCTCTCAATGGCTTTGTTACCATTGACCATGATATCCTTCTGAGCTGGCTCCATGAGTTGGTGATGGGGGAATGTTTTATGGTGGTTCTCTTCCTTTTGGGGGGCAAGTTCCAGTCAGTGTAGGTCAGGGGAAAAAGATTGCTCTTGGGCCTGTACTTTGCGGGGAGCCACAGGGTTTTTCTCCCTCTCCTCTCTTATTCAACATCTCCATGAAACCACTGGGTGAAGTCATCTGGGGTTTGGTATCATCAGTACTCTAATGATACCCAAATATGTCTTTTAACCCTAGTCTGGCCAAATGAGGCAGTTGGGGTTTTGTACCAGTGCATGAAGGCTGTGTAGGTTTGGATGGGGAGGAACCATCTCTAATTCAATCCTACCAAGGCTCAGTGGATGTGGCCACCTAAATGTGGGGATATTCCATCTTTAACCTTGGTGATGTAGCACTTCCCTATTCAAGAGTGGTGTGCAATCTGGGGCTCTTCCTGGACTCACAGCTTCTCTCAATGACCAGGTGAGAGCTGTGGCCAGGAAGGCCTTTGCACAGCTTCATCTGGTATGCCGGTTGCACCCTTTCTTAGGTCAGCCCTTCAGACAGTCACTCATGCTCTGGTCATCTCTTGGCTTGATTACTGCAACATGCTGTATGCGGAGCTGCCCCTGAAGACCACACAGAAGCTTCAATTGGTCCAGAAAGCAGTGGTGTGGGCAGTGATGAGTATGCCTGGGTATGCCTATATAATACCCCTGCTTCTCGAGCTGCACTGGTTGCCAGTTTGCTTCCAGGTGCAATTCAAGGTGCTAGTCACTATCAAGCCCTATAAGGTATAGGACCTAGTTACTTGAGAGACTGTCTCTCATAGTATGTGTTTGGCCAATTTGATTTGACAGGGTTGGTGCACTCTGGGTTCCTTCAATTAAACTATGCCATCTATTGGGACCCCGGAAATGCACCTTCTTTGTCCCAGCACCTGCACTCTGGAATGAAGTCCCCCACCCCCCTTTGTCCTGAGATCTGGATGGCTCACACATTACTGATGTTTCAGAGAGCTGTGAAAACCTGGCTCTTCACCCAGGCTTTTGGCTAGGATGGTTGAAGCCCCTTCTGTACACTAGGAATGATTTCATTGTTGCACAATATTGTCATCTTTTTGCTCCTTTGTCTTTATTATTATATGGTTTTATTGTTAATTTTTCTGTGTTTTTTTTAGTTTGTGAACTGCCCAGTTACTGCAAGTCTGGTGGTATAAAAATTAAATACGTAAAACAATAAATACTACAGTGCAAGGAATGTAGTCACATTAATTGCTCAAATGGATTAGCAAAGAAAATCAACTTTGCATAGATAGCAAATGAAAATACTTCTCTTTTTTACAGATAATTTGCTATGCAAAGACGTTAGATGGCTACACACCAGAGATTCCACTTGTACATATAATCCGAATTGAGGATGATAATGATAACCCTCCAATTTTTAATCCTGATACAGTTACTTTTATTACTCTAGAGAATAGCAGATCTGGTAAGCAAATATATAATTTGAAAACATTTTAGTTTTATACTCTGTTAACAGTTTAATCCCTTGTTTGGAGTGGAGTTTGATGGATGAGATTCATCCAATATAGAGTGAACAGTTACTGAAATTGGCTTCTAAAGAATTGACTACATCAACCCTTTTGAACTGGACAGTTTACCAAATAAAATTACACTAATTGTATATAGCTGTTAATATTTTTATGTGGAATGAAGCCAGTAAATTTCTGTACCTTGGAAATGGTCAGAGATGAATATTTCTATCTTGAAAATACCTTTATCTTAATATTAATGTCTGAGGCACCTTATATCTGTGCTGATTGGAGGCAAAGTGATCTACTGCTTTGAAGTTATCTTGGATCCTCAAGAGGGTTTTGTTTCTGATGCTTTGGGTCAGTTTGATACATTTCTGAATCTTTTCCAGACTCCATAAATGAAAAACCAGAGCGGCCTATGTTAATAGCTTTTAATTTTCAATCAGAAATATGTTTACTGTTCTGTTGTTTTAATTCCTATTGATGCCTTTGGAGAGAATTTATTGAAATAAATTGATAAGGATCTTGAAGATCCTTAGAAGTACAGGTAGTCCTTGATTTATGATCATTTGTTTAACGACCATTTGAAATTACAACAGCGCTAAAAAGGGACTTACGACTGGTCCTTGCACTTACGACTGTCACAGCATCCCCATGGTCACGTGATCAAAATTTAGGCACTTGGCAACCAGCATGTATTTAGGACAGCTGTAGCATCCTGGGATCACATGATCACCATTTGCAACCTTCCCAGGGGACTTCTAACAAGTAAAGTCAGTGGGAGAAGCCAGATTCACTTAATGACTGTGGCAAAAACAGTCATTAAAATTGGGTGTGACTCACTTAATGACTGTATTGCTTAGTGATGGAAGTTCTGGTCCCAATTGTCGTAAGTCAAGTACTACCTGTAAATGGGATTTATTTTTCACAATTTAGTTTTTAGTAAATACAGATAGGGTTATACTGTTCATATTTGCCTGGTGTTTTGAGCTAAAAATTGAAGGTAGCAGATTTCTTCCTGGAGGGAATTTGGGAAGAATTTTCTGTTCAGTGCTGCTGCTTTGCATTAATCTGGGTGATAGCACCTTTTCTTTAAAAGATGTGATTCAATCTATGAAATTTTCTCTTTGTTTTCCAAAGTTTTCTAGTTAGAACATGAAAGTCTGTATACAGATTATATGTTTGGAGTGTTGTATTTTAATATGAACAGCAAAGTCAGATTTGTTGTTAATTTGCTGCATTTTTTTTTAATTTTTAAACAATCACTGTAATATTGTAAAGAAATTACCAGGTAGAAGTGGGTAGAATTTTCCTTAAGCATTACGTGCTTATAATTTAATAAATATTTCCCACAAAATTGTTTTAATCATTTTAAACTTAAGTGTTGCTGGTAAAGACAAGAACAACTTTATACAGTATGATAAAGTGAAACAAGCAAGAATAAATTGTATAAATGTGTATGAGAAATTTGTAGACATTTGTATGGAAAGAGGGTGATTTGAAGGTGACTTGCAGAACTTGTTTTATTGCATTAATTTAAATATTGCTTGATAAGTAGCATGTATGCAGTACTATTTGGAAGCTAGCTCTATAATAATAATGTAAGTAGCATATTACGGTAGAATATTAATTTTTTTTTTTTTTAATGTAGGGACCTTGATTGGACGGATGACTGCAACAGACAGAGATGAACCTGGTACCTTGCACACTAAACTGAAATACAGAATTGTGGGACAGGATCCTACTTCATCTCGTGGTAGTACTTTATTTGCTGTAAATCCAGATAGTGGTGATATTTCTTTGCAGACCCCATCCTTGGATAGAGAGGTAATTTTTTTCTGAAACCTAATGTTGCTTTTTTTTACCATTGCATCTTTCAGTTTTACTGATTACCGAGCCAATTCGAACTGCAAAATTCTTAGGCATGCTGCAGCTTTGATTGATGATACTAATAAAATTGGATTCATGTCCTCTATCTTAACATGACTGAAAGATGGTAGATAAAATGTTCATATACGAAGTACAGTCAAGGGCATATGAAAATTTTCTGGACTGTACTTGCAAAGAGAGTATGGGAAGCAATGGAAGCTTGAAAATGGATTGATAATATGGTCAGCTGCTAGCCAAGGACATAGAACTGGAAGAAGAGATGCCCAGCAGAAAGTGATTTGAGGGAGAAGATTGTAATTTGCCGTATTATTGACAGCTTAGACTTTTGAGGCAATTACAGTGTTAAAAGAGGACCTTTCCTTAAGTGTGTTGTAAGACTATGTTGCCACAGAATGAATAGATGAGCATGCCAGTTAATAATATATTGGTAAAAGCTATTTTTATAGGTTGTCTTTAATCCATTTTCTTTTTTTGCCATATTACCCTTTTAGTGAGATGTGTTATAAATGTATTTCCGGGTCACAGAAAATTGTCATAAATATGTAACTGGTGGTACAATGATATATATAAATTATTGCAGCCTTGACCCCTTTTTGATATGTGGGATTTTGCCCCCCTCCCTCACTCCAAAGTCCAACCTGTTTTGCTAAGATTTACCAAGACTGGCCTAATGTCAGAAATCTGCATATTTGGACAGCCTACTTGCCTATACCCATCTGTGAATTTTTAAAATCTATGAAAGATTGCTTCCCCTTGTGCAGGATTTTTTAGAGAGTGCAAGCAGGGTGTTACTCTAGCCACCTCCCACAAAATCTCAATAAAGTGGAAGGCTAACAGCCTGAAAAAGCTCAGCATGAAGGGAAGGGGAGGGGTTATTTGGCAGGAGGCTGCAACAAGTGCTGTTAGTATTCTGGAAAAGGTAGAAACTATTTTGTCTTTTTTTCATAGAGCACGAAGACAAAAGAGAGCAAATACTTCTTCCAGCCATGGGCTTTTTCTGGACATGCAGGGTAGATGTATCAGTCAGGGAGAAGTTCTTCATCATTGATAAGCAGGAAAATGAATTTATAGAACTCTGCATAAGTGGCCTTAAAAGCATTTATATGGACAGATATGGCAAACAATGTAATTTTAATAGTCATTAAATTAAACATTAAATTAAATATTAAAAAAATATTGTGGTTCATCATTCTATTTATAAACTGTATGTAATTTATTTGGCTTTTAAGAATGAATAAACAATATCCATGTCTATAATGCTCTCTTTCAGAAAACAGATAGATATACGTTATTAATAGAAGGAAGAGATATGGCAGGTCAGAGTTTTGGTTTGTGCAACACTGGAACAGCTATAATTGAAGTTGGTGATGTAAATGATCATGCACCGATGTGTGAACATGGTGTGGTATGTCTGATATTTTCAAACTAATTATAATTTTTTTTATTATGTGTTTTTGA